GGGTTTGAACACCACTCACCAAGGAAGTCCTTACTCCTCTGTGCCTCAGTCTCCCCACACCCACCCAATAGTGTGGCACAAGGAATAGTGCCAACGCAGACCTATGCTGAGTGATTCCATTCAACAGCTCGTACAACCACCCCTGTAAGGCCATGCTTATTTACCCCATTTATACACAAGGAAGCTGAGGCTCAGAGGGATTAAGTAATGGCTCAAGGTCACACAGTGGCAAGTGCAAGAGCTGACTCCAGAGCCCACGCACACCCTGACCACTATACTCCCCACCCCTTGCAGAGGTTAGGAGTTGGCTCTAGAAGGGTCTGTGCAGTCCAGAAGCCCAGGCACCAGAGCCAACTCGAATCTCCCCAAGTAGAGGTCTGAGCAGGCTGGTCCGCCTGGGGCCTTCCTGCCTGGCAATCCCGCCTGAGGCTGGACTCCATTCACCACCTGAGAGTGAGGCGTCTGCACTTTGCCTGCCTTTGCAATCCCCCTTTTGAAAAGGCCCAAATTAGTCTTAAGCAAAGAAGGAGGGTAAAGGGATTTGTTCCACACGCAGACTGAGATATCTCTCAGCAAAGGTCAGGAAAGGTCCAGCTAGAGAGGGTGGCTGCGAACAAAAAGGAGAGCACTGAGACTAGAATCAGGGACATGGCCACTGCCCTGAAGGAGGGGAAGCACCTCATAGAGCTCTGACTGGGTGTCAGGCACTGTGGTCAGTCTGTCTCGTCACCACAGATCTGGATTGTCATCCACATGCACAGAGAAGTGAACTGAGGCTCAGAGAGGGGAAGACCCTTTACTCAAGATTGCACAGGTCTGTTTGATTCCTGGGTGTTGTCCCGAGTGTCCCTGGTGCTGTGCATAGTGCTCTCGACGCCACGTGCTTGGGGAGAACATGGACTGGACCTACCATGGGCTCTGCAACTTTGCTGGGACTCAGCAAATGTCATACACTCAGCAGTGTCATAGCATTTGTCCCTTAGTTTATAACCACCATGACCATCATCATCTCCAATCCAGGCCACAGGCAGAAGAGCGAGCACCTCAACTCTGGAATTGAATTCTGGATCCAACTCATGTCTGCCAGGTCCTGAGAGCAGGGGCTGGGTCCCAGGGCCACTACCAGGCAGGAAGGCTGCCGATGCCCACCAGGGAACTGCTGGCTTGCCTCACCCTCAACTCTACCCAGTCCAAAGGCTCCATGAGGAATCCGGGCTGACTCCCCTCACTGGGTCCAGCCCAGACAGACTCTTAAATACTGTTCCCCCAACAGCTCTCCACACCCTGAAGCCCCCAGCCCCACCTGCCTGCTCCCTCTCAGGGGGTCTCTGGGCCAAACCACCTGCCAAGAATTCACCTGCCCTTCCTTTACAATGATAGACAGGGTGCTTCAAAAAGTTTGTGGAAAAGTGGAATTAAAAGATAACACAAATCTTTCTATGAACTTTTTCAAGTCCCCTTGTATCTGAGCATCTCCCCCTTCTCCTTTCTCTCCTCCTGCCTGGAGGGACAAATCCTCTCCTCCCTGCCAGAGGCAGACCACTCTCCAGTGCTCTTTAGGGGTAAAACTTTTTTAATCAGTTTCCTTTTTTTTTTCTTATTACAAAAGTATTATGTGGACACTGTGGAAAGATTAAAAAATCAAACATGAAAAACAAAAAGTTAAAACTTACCCACAATCACTTTTTCTTTTGTATTTCATAATATTTAACGTTTTCATAACTATCTTTGGAAGCAGGAAAAGCAATAAGGCATTTCTAAAAAGCCCGCACATCAGGGCCGGCCCATGGCTCACTGGCTGAGCGTGGTGCTGACAACACCAAGTAAAGGGTTAAGATCCCCTTACCGATCATCTTTAAAAAAAAAAAAAAAACCCGTATATCCCCACCATCCAGAGATAAACACGTCACTACCTGGTCCTCTGTCAGTGTAGAAGGACAGAGACAGACGGATCGAGAATGCAGATTCCTGTTTTTTTACAAAAAGAGGTTGTGCTTTACCTACAGTCTTTGTAGCTGCTGTGTCCACTTAACAACTGATCATAAGCATCTTTCCAGAAGAATAAATGGATAAATGCATCACCTGACAGCCCAGCGCATGGCTGCCTCTAGCAATCTCCAACTGTTGGACACATCGGGTATTTCCAATGTTTCTTCAGGATAAGTCATGCTGGAATATGCTCCAGAGGTAGGGCCCTGTCTGTCTCGTGCACTGCAGCATCCCAGCGCCTGGCACTCATGTTTGCTGAGTGGGTGAATGCATGCAAGCCTCAGCGAGCAGCCTCCCAGCTCAGCCCCGCCCTGGGTCTCTCAGGCCCTATCCATCCTCAACTCCCTCCCTGGGTCCTCAGCCTGCAGTCATACTCCAGTGCCCCAGTGCACCTACCTGGGGCTCTGCTTTTTCTTCCCTCTGCTTCTCTCTGCATCGTACCTCACTCTCATTTCTCTGAGCCCAGAAATATGCAGCCCCTGTAGCTGGCATGTGGTTTGTGCTAAGTGCTGGGGGTGCAGAGGGACGGCCATGAAAGCACAGCCAGGACGCTCGCTCTGGTCTAGGGCCAGGTAAGGCCTCTCAGCCAAGTCCTGAAGAAT